CTCCCTCGAATGTAGGTGCCGCCCCCTCGAATGTAAGTGCCGCCCCTCGAATGTAGGTGCCGCCCCCTCGAATGTAGGTGCCGCCCCCTCAAATGTAAGTGCCGCCCCCTCGAATGTAGGTGCCGCCCCCTCGAATGTAGGCGCCGCCCATTAAATGTAGGCGCCATCCCCTCGAATGTAGGTGCCACCCCCTCGAATGTTGGTGCCGCCCCTCAAATGTACCTAAATGCCGCCCCTCGAATGTAGGTGCCGCCCCCTCGAATGTAAGTGCCGCCCCCTCAAATGTTAGTGCCGCCCCCTCCCTCGAATGTAGATGCCGGCCCTCTTCGAATGTAAGTGCGCCCCCTCGAATGTAGGTGCTGCCCCCTCAAATGTTAGTGCCGCCCCCTCGAATGTAGGTGCCGGCCCTCCTCGAATGCAGTTGCCACCCCTCAAATGTTAGTGCCGCCCCCTCGAATGTTGTGCCGGCCCTCCTCGAATGTTGGTGCCGCCCCTCAAATGTACCTAAATGCCGCCCCTCGAATGTAGGTGCCGCCCCCTCAAATGTTAGTGCCGCCCCCTCGAATGTAGATGGCGGCCCTCCTCGAATGTAGGTGCCGCCCCCTCAAATGTTAGTGCCGCCCCCTCGAATGTAGATGCCGGCCCTCCTCGAATGTAGGTGCCGCCCCTCAAATGTTAGTGCCGCCCCCTCGAATGTAGATGCCGGCCCTCCTCGAATGTAGGTGCCGCCCCCTCAAATGTTAGTGCCGCCCCCTCGAATGTAGGTGCCAGCCCTCCTCGACTGCAGGTGCCGCCCCCTCGAATGAAGGTGCCGCGCCGCCCCCTCAAATGTTGGCCCCGGCCACTTATGCATAGGTGTCATCGGTCATCCCATAAAATGTAGGTGCCGTCCCCTCGAATGTAGATGGCACCCCCTAGGGTGTAGTTGCCGCCCCCTAAGGCCTAGTTGCAGTGCAGCCCCCTCGAATGTAGGTGCCACCCCCTAAGTGTAGATGCCACCCCTTGAAATGAAGGTGCATTTCCCTCACATGTAGATAGATGCCGCCCCCCCCCCATGCGTGGGTGCCGCCCCTCAAGTTAGGGTGCTGCCCATAAAATGTAGGTGCCGCCCCCTCTAAGTGTAGGCGCTGCCGCCTCAAGTGCAAATGCCATCGCCGCCCCCTCTAATGTAGGTACTACCCTCCTCTCACTCTCAGGAGCTTGAGCTGTCACAAGGCCGTACAGAGCTGTCGGACATGCAAAAATGACCAGTTAAAAAAATCGTGGATTTCGATTCCTGGTGCGCCGCTCACCGCTCAGTGGGGGGTGGGGGTGGTGCCCAGTGGAGGTCGCAGGGGGGCATCAGGGCCATGGCCCCCCAAAGACAAATCAGGGGCCATCATATAATTTGCCTCCTTAAACAACCGATGGGCCCCGATGGGCGTAGGGGCCCTGGCTCTTACCCGATTGTCACGAGGCTCAAGAAACCAACGCCAGGTATTATGTAACAGCCCCCATACCTGTCTTTGAGTATCTGACTTCTGAGGGCACTTCAGTGGCCTTCAAGGGCCCACCTTGACCGATGAGGGCCCACATCGACCTCTCGGGGCCCTCCACTGGCCCTTGAGGGCCCTAAAGCGGCATCAGGAGTCCCCCAACCGGCTTTGAGGGCCCCACACTGATCTCTTGATGGCCTCATTTCTATCTCTGGGGTTCAGGACTGACCTTTGGGTGCCGGTCACTAAGAGCCCGCATCGACCTCTGAGGGCCTCAAACTGGCCTTTGAGGGCCCTGTACTGGTCTCGAGGGCTCCCAAACTGGTCTCTGGGGGTCCACGCCGCTAATGGCCTCATTTCTTTTTCTGGGGGCCCAAGACTGGCCTTTGGGTGTCCCCGAGGGCCCGTACTGACTTCTGAAGGCCCGATGCCGGTCTCTAAGGGTCCACATCGGCCTCTGAGGGCCCTATGCTGACCTCTGGGGTCCAACACCGACCCATGCTGGTCTTTTAGGGCCCCACACTGACCTCTGAGGGCTCCACGCTGGCCTGTAAAATACCACACCGGCATGTGAGGGCCCACGTCGGCCTCTGATGGTTCCAAACTGCCCTTTGAAGGCTCTGTACTGGTCTCTGAGGGCCTCACACTGCCGGTACGGACCCACGCTGGTCTTTTGAGGGTCCAAACTGGTCTCTGACGGCCCAAACTGGCCTCCTAGGGCCCAACACCGTGGCTTCGGATGGCCCAATTTCTGTCTCTGGCGGACAAAGACTAACCCTTGGGCACTTCTGAGGGCCCGTACTGGCTTCTGAAGGCCCGATGCCGGTCTCTTAGGACCAACATTGGCCTCTGAGGGCCCATCCTGGCTTTTGAGGACGCTATGTTCGGTCTTTTAGGGCCCCATACTGACACCTCTGAGGGCTCCACGTTGGCCTGTAGAAATCACACTGGCCTCTGAGGACCCACGTCGGCCTCTAATGGTTCCAAACTGACCTTTGAAGGCCCTGCACTGGTCTCAGAGCCCAGAGGGCCCTAAACTGGCTTCTAAGGGTCCCAAACTGGCCTCTGAGGGCCCCAAACCGGCCTCTAAATGTCTCACACCGGCTGCTGATAACCCCATTTCTGTCACTGACACCCAAGGCTGGCCCTTGTCCCTTGGGTGCCTCTGAGGGCCCCGTACTGGCTTCTGAGTTCTGAAGGCTCTATGCCGGCCTCTGAGGACCCATGACGGTGTTTAGGGGCCCTGTGGTAGTGTGCTCCTCGATTGTCTCCCTGGAGCCGCCTCTGCGATGACTTGCCCGCCGGCGCATGGGCCGACGGCTGGGGTCAGCGGGCGCGGTTGGAATGTGGACCAGTCTTGTTCGAGACACAATGCAAGCGGGAGCCCTACTGTCGCTTATAACAGGCCCCACACTGGACTCTGAGGGCCCCAAACTGGCATCAATGGGCCCCAGCCGGTCTATGGGGTCTCTACATCGCCACTGATGACCCTATTATGGTCTCTGGGGTGCCAGGTTAGTCTGGTCCCTGAGGGCCCACATCGGCCTCTGAGCCTGGGGGCCCCATACAGGCCTTTGAGGGCCAATACTGGCCTTTGAGGGCCCTACACCGACCTCTGAGGGCCCCGAATCGAGCTCCTCTGAGGGACCCACACTAGCCTCTGATGAACCCTCTCCGGTCGCTGGGGGCTCAAGATTGAACTTTGGGTGCCTCGCACTGGGCTCTGCTCTGACTGCCCACATTGACCTCCGAGAGCTCCACACTGGCCTGTAAGGGATCATATTGGGCTGGCCTCTGATGACCAACTGGTTTTGGAGGGCCAGTACTGGCCAGTGGCCACTCAGGGTCCAAAACCGGCTTTTGAGGGCCATAACCGGCATCTGATGGACCGAACCGGACCCTGGTGGCCCAAAACAGGCCTCAGAGGGCCCCGCACCAGACTCTGAGAGTCCCATCTTTAGTCTCTGGGGTCCAAGGAAGAACTTTTGGCGTTTCATGCCGTCCTCCAAGGTTCCCTGTCAGCCTCTGTTGGTCCCCATGGCCATGTCGGAATTTCGGAATTTGAGGGCCGTTATCTCGTCGCAGCGGGCCGGCATTAATCTAACTAGTTATTACCATATAGTTATTACCATATAGTTATTACCATATCGGGGTCGCATCGGTTTCTGAGGGCCCATGTCTGCTGCCAAGGGTCCCTGGTCTCTGATAGTTCCATTTAGGTCTTTGAGAGCCCGGGCCTGCCCATCATAGGCGTCTCATGCTATCTTCTTATTCTCTGCCGATCTCGGAGGGCCCCTGTCGATCTGTTTGGCCTGTGCAGGTTTTTAAGGGCCGCTGCTAGTCTCTGAGAGCCCCATGTCGTTAGTTGTGTCTATTTTGGGGCGCATTGGCACCACACATGTCTCTTAGGGCCCATACCAGTTAAGGGGTCCCACATTGACCTCTCAAGGACCAACGCTGGCCTCAAGGGCTCACACCACCTCAGAGGTTTCGAACTGGCCTTTGACGACCCCGCACTGGCCTTTGATGACCCCGGGACCGCACTGGCCTCTGATGGCTCAGGCAGGTCTCGTAAGACCCACGTTGGAGTTCAAAGACCCATACTGCTGTGCGAGGTCTCGCCCGGTTTATGAGGGTCAATCTCAATACTGGCCTTAAATGATCTTACGCCGGGCTTATATCAGGGTCTCATAGGTCTCATACTGGTTTCAGAAGATTTCCTCTACTTACGAAAAACTTCAGGGGGAGGGGGGCGGATATTCGCCCCTCCCCCCTCCGCGGTACGCGGGTTAAGCTAACACACCGCCCCCCCAGCGAGGGTCTACAGGGCCAATTCGCCAATTCGCCCCCCCCCCCCCACGCCAAGTTTACGACCGTACCTGGTGGCGCCCACTTCCGGACTATTGCGCCCCTCGGAACCGCTTTGGGCGCCCTTTCAGGGCTGTGCAACCCCAATAAAAAACAAATAAATCCACCCCTGCCTTTGACCTGTGACCTGCTGTGACTACCACCCTGAAGTCGCCTGAAGCCACCAACCTGGGTCTCGACGACGTCACCGTCGCGCAGCTGCGCAGGTTCCACGTCGATGGTGCCGAGCAGCCGTAGGCGGAGGTCGGCGAGGCTCGGGCACTGTGGGGAGGCGGGTGAGGCTCGGGCACTGTGGGGGGGGGGGGCAGCGAGGCTCGGGCACTGTGGGGAGGCGGGTGAGGCTCGGGCACTGTGGGGGGGGGGGGGCGGCGAGGCTCGGGCACTGTGGGGGGGGGGGCGAGGCTCGGGTACCGTGGGGAGGCCGGCGAGGCTCGGGCACTGGGGGGGGGGGGGCGGCCAGGCTCGGGCACTGTGGCAGAGCCGGTGTGTCCGCAATACTTACCTACTTGGTACGCAGCAGAAATGAAATTACCCGGCAAAAACAAGGCCTCTGCAGGTAAATGGGCGCAGAGGCTGCTGAGATATTAAGCCTATCAAAAGCGTGACCAAGGCCAGTCACTCATAATTTTTCGTAAAGGAAGATACTAAAACGGCACATCATAGTTCAATGTGTATTATCTGCTGTTCATACGCACACACGCATTACAACAGGTCAATTAACGAAATTGACGAAAAGTGCCTTGCAGTCGTACGATTTCATCCGCAAATTTGTTGCACGCTGTAACAGAAACTGTGTAATAGCTGCGCAAAATAAACAAGGTGGCGCAAAGTCTAATCTGTAATCAGTCCGTTATCTGCAATGCAAAAGATCTGCTTGCCTTGAGCACTGCAATGACATCACCTCAGCGTAACATTGCCCTACATTGTCGCTTCCTTGCGAACTTCGGAAGACAAAAGCAGCAGCCGCTTTACGTCGCAGTGGCACGAATCACAACACTTTGCCATATAATCATACTGGAAAGCATGGGATAACCGTTTGATATACAGAGATGAGGCGTCTGGCTCACATTTATTACCATGACGGCAGTAAGGTCGTGTTACGTTCATATCCCACGGAATCACACCGTCTGCTCACTTAGCGTAGTCGCGCAGCCAACCCCTGCGGAGCGGCTACCCGCAGCCGCCGCGGGCCGAGCGGCTAGACGCAGCCGACGCGGGCCGAGCGGCTAGACGCAGCCGACGCGGGCGGCCCAGTCGCAGCTGGAGATGGCCTGGTTCCAGCCGGTGCCGGCCGGGCAGGCGGCCCGGTGCGCCGCGCCGCTCAGACACTTGTAGAAGCGGTGGCAATCCTCCGGGTCGGCGAACCAGCCGTCGGCGCTGGGACACGTGACTGCGGCACAGGGGTGTCTCTGTGTCAGCGGCGGGTGAGTGGCCCGCGGCCTCGGCCGACTCCTGGTGGCTGCAGTGAGGGCTGCCCGCTGCAGCCCTGCTAGTCGTGTAGTATGTAGTGTATAGCATCTACCCGCCCGCTGCTCCATTTACTGACCACTGACAATAGACATTTCCCGTGTTTGAGTTTACGGCGGCTGCGTTTATTGTCGGGCCGGGGTGGGGGGCGTGTCACTTACACGGTCGGCTCGGCGCGGGAGTCGAGGTCGGCGCCGGCGGAGCGGGCACGGACGCCGCCGTGCTCGGCTTCACGGTGGCAGTGGCGCCCCCTTCCGGAGCCGCCGAGCACCTGCCGGGCAGCGCAGAGCACCGTCAGCGGACAGCGGCGTCGGAGCGGCGCGTGTCACATTGGGCGCGCCCGCCCGCCCGCCCGCTCCATTAGTCCCACTCCCAGGTGGTCATTTATTGTGATGGCTTTGTGATCTTTTGAGACTAATGACGTAGCAGAGCTTCGTAACCTGTCGGCACTGGACTGACATGAGGCGACTGAGAGTCAGCCACAGGGGAGCACTGCCGCTTCAATCCTATTGGCCGTAGTGTCTAACGGTGGCGGCCATATTGCGCAGACCAAGAACCGGCCGCCGCCTGTGTTGAGGAATAGGGAATTCGGGACCTCGATTTACGTTTGCGGCCGCCGTATCCGTTACGTTCGAGTTACGTAGATACGGAACCCGGCATCTTACGTAGAATTGAATGGGGAACACGATCGTATCTTCAGAATTCCTCAAGTTCACTCGCCGGACCTACATTTGCCCCGGCCGAGGGGGTTGACTGAACCCACCTCGCTAATGCGCCGCTAATTAAACTAGAATTAAGCGGTAAAGTGGTCGTATGCGGCAAAATATAATAAAGAGTGACTGGTAGGAACCCGCTGTAAGGATCTCAGGTCAACCGGTGACCTCTGAGGTCAGGTCAAGTGATCTAAGGCACGGGTTCGACTTTTGGTAAATAGCTTCGCCAAAAATGACCGTGGAGCCGCGATTTTGGCATCATCGTGTTCAGCTAGCTCAGGCGCATCGAGTGATATACTTTTTGTTCGGGTCAGGTCAACTAAGGGTGTTGACCTCAGGTCAAGGTCAGGTCAGCACCCCCAGGTCACGAAGTTGGTCGAAAGAGGTCATGTCGCATATCATTCGATTTGGCAGGTCTTCCTGAGTCCATTGGTGGCTTTCCCGACTCGCTAGCTCAATTTGATCGGGAGTTATTGAAAAAAATGTGACCCTTGTGACGTCACAAATGACGTCACGCAAGGGCAACAATGCAAATATGAAGCATAGAACCTTGCAAAGAGTGCATGAAATCATGATTCTATATGCTTGAGATAGTTTCAGATCATTCTCGGCGCCAAAATAGCAATTTTCATATTTCCCCATTGACTTATAAGGGTTTAACGTATTAGTTCCTTGTATCTAAGGATTTTTTAGGATTTCATCTTGTTCCCCACTCAATTCTGCGTAAGATGCCGGGTTCCGTGTCCACATAGCTTGAACGTAACGGATGCAGCGACCGCAAACGTAAATCGAGGTCCCGAATTCCCTATTCCCCAACACAGGCGGCGGCCGCTTCCTGGTCTGCGCATTGCGCAACAGGGCGGCACCGTTGGACACCATCTGGCGGCCGATGCGCCTTCCACATTATAGAGTTCAGTGGAGTCAGCACAGCACAGCCCTGACTGACTCCGAGTCAGCAGAGCACAGCACAGCACAGCCCTGACTGACTCTGAGTCAGCACAGCACAGCACAGCCAGGATCAGTCAAGCCCAGCCGTGACTGGTTGGTATTACAGCCTGCAGGCGGGCCGGGCCGGTGACTGGGCTGATGGTCCGCCGGTAGCCAGCCGCGTCTCACCTGACCAGGCTGGCCCAGTTGCAGTAGCCTCGGCTGGGGTCGAACAGCGTGCCTTGCGGGCACCGGAACGTGTGGGCCGCGCCGCCGGCGCACAGCACGTAGGTGGCGCAGTCGCGCGGGTCCGGCGCAGCGCCGCCGGAAGCCGAGCACGCCGCTGTGGGGAGCGGGCCACGGCCGTCAGCGGGGCGGGGCGGGGCCGACCTCCGGGCCTCACAGGGGCCGACCTCAGCGGGGCGGGGCCGACCTTAGCGGGCGGGGCCGACCTCAGCGGGGCCGACCTCAGCGGGGCCGACCTCAGCGGGGCCGGCCTCAGCGGGCCGGCCTCAGCGGGAGATCTGGGGTCCTAGGTCATTGGCTGACCTTACAGGTCATGTCAATGACCAAAAAGTCGGGAAAATCGGGACCTGTCAGGCTCAGAACTTTGTAAAGTGAGCCTACTAAGCGGTTTTCGGGGTGCTGATTACGGATTTCATGTTAGCATTGATCACCGATGATGTACCATGAATTCAGGCCAGGTGGGTCAGGTTAGGTCAGGTAAACCAGCAGGCGTTCTGCCGGGTATTCATAGTAGGGGTTAACCACCACTGACAGCTTTGTTACATATAGGTACCGAAGGCACCAAAACTACTTTCCAAATGTTCAAATGGTTGCTAAATTCGAAATCAGCTCCAAAAACCAACCTATTTACATGTTAAACTCTAAAAAGTGAACCAAGGTCACCAACGGTCAGCGACCTGACCTGACCTTCAGGTGACCTTGACACCCACCATAATGCATGGCACCAGCATCATTTCACATGTTTTTACGTTTAAAAACCACAAAAAGACGGCAAACGGGCGGATAATATGAGCCGACATACGCCGAATCGCGAATCAAGGCCACACATGGTCTAAAGACATAGGTCACAGGTCAAAGGTAATATTGGTCAGTGTCATGACATTTTCAGGGTATGTGCAAAATTGATTGACTTGAAGGTAATAACCTCCTTGACCATTTTTCTTGGACCTATGACGTCACAGGAAGTTCAAATAAGATCAAATTGTACCGGTTTACAACGAAAAACATTTTTTTACGTTAAAGTGACTTTAGTCACGTAAAGGATCATACCTATTCAGTCAGCAAAAGGTTGACAAGAATCATAAATATTACTCCTGACTGATTTCAAGCAAAATTACTGAAAATATTGTGACGTCATAAGAAAAGTCGCTACTTTTTTAGTCATTCAAATGGCTATATCTCAGGCAGTTTTTGAGATATTTTGTTAATTTTTTGCATGTGTAAGGCCAGTATCCCGAGGATAAGTGTATCACAAATCGCTGCGCCCATTAGGCCTCGGCTGCGTCCGGTAGGTTTTCGAACAGGACAGCTCGCGGCTCCGCCCGGCCCTGGCCTGGGAAAGCTGGAGGCGGCCGGTGAACTCACGTGCAGGCCCACCCTCTGTTGGGCTCGGCGCGGTGGTGCTGGTGGTGCTGCTGGTGCTGGTGGTGGTGCTGGTGGTGCTGGTGGTGCTGGTGGTGGTGGTGTTGGACGGTCCCGCAGAGCCGAGACTCTCGACAATGGCGGACATGAGTGGCCAGGCGCCGCCGCCGCACGTATTTCTGGAAACATTATCACAGTGAGTGAAACGGTAACATGAGATGAAAAGAGAGAGAGGGAGAGAGAGAGAGAGAGAGAGAGAGAGAGAGAGAGAGAGAGAGAGAGAGAGAGAGAGAGAAAGAAAGAGAGAGAGAGAGAGAGAGAGAGAGAGAGAGAGAGAGAGAGAGAGAGAGAGAGAGAGGGTCCCTTGTTGACAGCACAGTATGTCCACAGCCCAGTATGTTGACAGCCCAGTATGTCGACAGCCCAGTATGTTGACAGCCCAGTATGTCGACAGCCCAGTATTCTGACAGCCCAGTATGTCGACAGCCCAGTATGTCGACAGCCCAGTATGTCGACAGCCCAGTATGTCGACAGCCCAGTATGTCGACAGCCCAGTATGTCGACAGCCCAGTATGTCGACAGCCCAGTATGTTATTGTTGACAGCCCAGTATGTCACAGCCCAGTATGTTGACAGCCCAGTATGTCGACAGCCCAGTATGTTGACAGCCCAGTATGTCGACAGCCTGGTACGTCGACAGCCCAGTACGTCGACAGCCCAGTATGTCGACAGCCCAGTATGTTAACAGCGCAGTATGTCGACAGCGCAGTATGTCGACAGCCCAGTATGTTGACAGCCCAGTATGTCGACAGCCCAGTATGTCGACAGCCCAGTATGTTGACAGCCCAGTATGTTGACAGCCCAGTATGTCGACAGCCCAGTATGTCGACAGCCCAGTATGTCGACAGCCCAGTATGTTGACAGCCCAGTATGTCGACAGCCCAGTATGTCGACAGCCCAGTATGTCGACAGCGCAGTATGTCGACTGTCCGTTTGACTCACCTGACATCCTCATAGCTGACGTCCCAGACCATGACGGCCCCGAAGCCCTGGCTGACGGCCCACCGGGTCTTGGCGGCCACCATGGCGGTGTCGTCGTAGCCGACCCACTGGTCGCCCGAGTAGGCGTACGGGCCGATCTTCCCGGCGGGGTCCTGACGGCAGCGACACGTCGTCAGACGGCCAGTCACATATTCCGGAGGACTCGGCAGGTGGAGACCGGTGGGGCAGCGACTCACAAAACTACGCTCTTGGACGCTGTGGCTTAGAATTGTACACAAAGGAATACTTTACTGACAATATTTAAAAATTCATGGAATGATCGCCTTATATCTTTTCATTTACTACGGACGTATGTACGGCACTCCAGCAAAAGAGTGGTTGGTTAGCCTACTGTGCTTTTGGTGTAATAGCTTTAACCCTCGCATGTGTGCGGCGTTTGCCAGCTTCTAATGTGTAGGGGGGGGGGTCGGTTGGACCCCCCCCCCTTGCCGTTTGGCCCCTGATCGAGCTAGAGCTTCGCGGAAAAAACGAGCGTGCTGCCCGTGACGAGAGGAAGCCGATGATACCCAATTTTAAGGTCCTAGGTCATTGGTTGACCTTCCAGGTCAGGTCAATGACCCAAAGTCGGGAAAATCGGGACCTGTTAGAAAGTCGTAAAGTGTGGCTGCTAAGGGGTTTTTTGGGGTGCTGATCACGAATATCGTGTTAGTTTTAATCACAGATGATGTCTTGAAGCATTTAGACCAGGTCGGGTCAGGTCAGGTCAGGTCAACCAGTAGGCGTCGTGACGGGTATTCGTAGTACGTGTCAACCGCCTCTGACAGCTTCGTAACATGTTACGAAGTCACCAAAACTACTTCGTAAATGTTCAAATGGTTGCTAAATTCGAATTCAGCTCCAAAAACTAGCCTAGAAACATGTAAAACTCGAAAAAGTGACCCGAGGTCACCCGAGGTCACCAAAGGTCAATGACCTGACCTGACCTTCAGGTGACCTTGACACACACGGGAGTAACATCAAATCACATGTTTGAACGTTTGAAACCACGAAAAGCTTGCAAACACGCGGCTAGTGCGAGCCGACATACGCGAAACCGCGATTCCGGCCAAACATGGTCTCGGAAAAGAGGTCACAGGTCAAAGGTCATTTGGGTCAGGGTCATGAAATTTTCAGGGTAGGTGTAAAATTGATCAATGCGAGGGTACTGAAAGTTTCGTTGCGATCGGCCGCTTTTTACGCGAGTTATTTGCGAAAAACCATGGGGGGGGGGTCCATCCGACCCCCCCCCTACACATGCGAGGGTTAAATGACAGAGACACTCCTGCAAAATGACTCAATAGAAATGAGAAGAGGGTTCGTGCACACATTTCGGCTGTGGTTTTCAACAGCAATTAGACGTATTCATCAATGCAGATAGATTATTGTGATGTTGGCAACCAACCACTTGATACCTGAAGGGCCGTACGTATGTAGGTACTCATCTTGACCATTTGTGGGTTTTTCTAGTAAGCGCTGAATGAAACAAAATGTGAAACCAAATGAAATGAAACCAAATGCGTCTGCCTGAAAACTGAATGGCAAGGCCATCATTTCTCTCATATGTCTCCTTTATCCCATTTCATTTTAATTTTTGCGTATAAGTAGATAGGTGAGCGCGCCTGAGAGGAGGCCGAGAGGAGGCCGGGAGGAGGCGCGCCTGAGAGGAGGCCGGGAGGAGGCCGGGAGGAGGCCTGAGGAGGCGCGCCTGAGGAGGCCGGGAGGAGGCGCGCCTGAGAGGAGGCCGGGAGGAGGCCTGAGGAGGCGCGCCTGAGAGGAGGCCGGGAGGAGGCCGAGAGGAGGCGCGCCTGAGAGGAGGCCTGAGGAGGCCTGAGGAGGCGCGCCTGAGAGGAGGCCGGGAGGAGGCCGGGAGGAGGCGCGCCTGAGAGGAGGCCGGGAGGAGGCCTGAGGAGGCGCGCCTGAGAGGAGGCCGGGAGGAGGCCGGGAGGAGGCGCGCCTGAGAGGAGGCCTGAGGAGGCCTGAGGAGGCGCGCCTGAGAGGAGGCCGGAGGAGGCCGGGAGGAGGCCTGAGGAGGCGCGCCTGAGAGGAGGCCGGGAGGAGGCCGGGAGGAGGCGCGCCCGAGAGGAGGCCGGGAGGAGGCCTGGAGGCCGGGAGGAGGCGCGCCTGAGAGGAGGCCGGAGGAGGCCGGGAGGAGGCCGGGAGGAGGCGCGCCTGAGAGGAGGCCGGGAGGAGGCCGGGAGGAGGCGCGCCCGAGAGGAGGCCGGGAGGAGGCCTGAGGAGGCGCGCCTGAGAGGAGGCCGGGAGGAGGCCTGAGGAGGCCTGAAGAGGCCTGAAGAGGCGCGCCTGAGAGGAGGCCGGGAGGAGGCCTGAGGAGGCGCGCCTGAGAGGAGTCCGGGAGGAGGCCGGGAGGAGGCGCGCCTGAGAGGAGGCCTGAGGAGGCCTGAGGAGGCGCGCCTGAGAGGAGGCCGGAGGAGGCCGGGAGGAGGCCGGGAGGAGGCGCGCCTGAGAGGAGGCCGGGAGGAGGCCTGAGGAGGCGCGCCTGAGAGGAGGCCTGAGGAGGCGCGCCTGAGAGGAGGCCTGAGGAGGCGCGCCTGAGAGGAGGCCGGGCCGACCCACCGTGACCACGCTCCAGCCGGCGCGGACGTTGTGGCAGATCTCCAGGTAGGAGAGTGTGCCGGCCTCCCTGGTCACGGGCCCGGCGCGCGCTGCGCCCCGGCCGGCCGCCGGCGGCCCCTTGTCGGCCCCGGGTACCGTCCAGCTCTTGCCGTACAGCGGCACGCCCACGGCCAGCTTGGAGGCCGGCGCGCCGCGGCTCCTCCAGGCCTCCATCACGGACTGCAAGTCCAGGCCGCTGCCGGCGTCCGAGGCGCGCGGCAGCAGCGGCGCGTGGTGGTCGGCGGTGGCCTCCCACGGCCCGTGCAGGTCGTACGCCATCACGTTGATGAAGTCGAGCCCCGCCGAGACGGTCGGCACGTCGTACCCGGCGTCGATTTTGGCGGCGCTGGCGGTGACGGCGGCGGTGAGCAGCAGGCCGTGCGGCTGGAAGGCGGCGCGCAGCTCGGTCACCCAGGCGGCGAACCCGGCCCGGTCGGCCGCCGACGGGTACTCGTAGTCCAGGTCCAGGCCGTCGAAGCCGTGCTGCTGCAGGAACTGGACGGCGCCGGCCGTGAAGGAGGCGCGCAGCGCCGGGCTGGCCAGCATGATGGAGTACTTGGGGTGCAGCGAGTCGGTCCAGCCGCCCAGCGCCAGCAGCAGTTTCAGCGACGGATTCCTTTTCCGCAGAGAGAGGAACCTCTCGTAGTTCTGCGGACAGCCAGTTCAGTGCTAGTTTTCACAGCCGGTACACTGCACTCAGTGACACAGCAAACACACCAAACGACCTTCATTATTCGCGAGGGCGAATCAAATCGTGTGCTCGTGACGAATCCTGCATTATTTGCATCGATACAGAATCATATCGCAGATACTGAATTTTGTAGCGAGGCCATTAGTTGATGAGAAATAGACAAATTGACGACCACAAACAGGTAGATTCAGCACAGGGAGAGGGACAGAGAGAGAGAGAGAGAGAGAGAGAGAGAGAGAGAGAGAGAGGGACAGAGAGAGAGAGAGAGAGAGAGAGGAGAGAGAGGAGGGAGGGAGGCAGAGAGAGGGAGTTTGTGGCCGGCCGGCAGCAGGCTGCGGAGCCGGCACGGGCTCGCGTCGCTCACCCGGAGGTGGCCGTCCAGCCACGGGTCAAACATCTCCATCTGGTAGGTGGACGGGCTGAGCTTGGCGAACGAGTACACGTATATGGTGCACAGGTGCGGGTCCAGGTCCTCGGCCGTGACCGTCCCCAGGCCTGCAGACACAGGGGCGCAGTGATACAGTGGCACAGTGACATAGACACAGACACAGACACAGTGGCGCAGTGGCACAGTGACACAGACACAGACACAGTGACACAGTGACACAGACACAGACACAGTGGCGCAGTGACACAGCGACACAGTCACAGACACAGTGGCGCAGTGACACAGTGATACAGTAACATAGACACAGACACAGACACAGACACAGACACAGACACAGTGGCGCAGTGACACAGTGATACAGTAACATAGACACAGACACAGTGGCGCAGTGGCACAGTGATACAGTAACATACTGACACAGACACAGACACAGACACAGACACAGACACAGACACAGTGGCGCAGTGACACAGTGACATACTGACACAGACACGGTGATACAGTAACACGCAGTGACACAGTGACACGGTGATACAGTAACACAGTGGCGCAGTGGCACAGTGACACGGTGATACAGTAACTGTATGTAACATACAGTTACATACAGTAACACAGTGGGTCAGTGACACGGTGATACAGTAACGCAGTGGCGCAGTGGCGCAGTGACACAGTGACATAGACACAGACACAGTGGCACAGTGGCACAGTGATATACTGACACAGACACAGACACAGACACAGACACAGACACAGACACAGACACAGACACAGACACAGTGGCGCAGTGGCACAGTGACACGGTGATACAGTAACACAGTGGCGCAGTGACACAGTGACACAGACACAGACACAGACACAGACACAGTCGTGCAGTGACACGGTGACATACTGACACAGACACAGACACAGACACAGACACAGTCATGCAGTGACATGGTGACACAGACACAGACACAGTGGTGCAGTGACATGGTGACATACCCTAGTGAAAAAGTCCTCAAGGATTTCGCCAGAATCCCCACAATCCTTAAGGATCCATAAGGACCCATATGGATCAGATGTGAAATCCTTAAGGATTCTACGGACCCTCTTGAATCCTTAAGGATGCATTCGCCGATCCGTAAGGATTTTAGGGCGATGTTTGGTATCCTTAAGGATCGCTCAGTATTCCGTAAGGAAATTGCTAGTAACGCTTAATCCTTCAGGATAGCCGATGCAGCCAGTACGTCAATAATTATGGAGTGATTGAATCCTTCCCTAGTATTATTCCGTGCTCCGTATCCGTTAATTTCTTAATCATATGACATATACGGCATGTAAAAACTTTGTGACGGACCAAAGCAGCGTTCGTTATCATCATAGGCGCGGGAACCGGGAGGCGAGGGGGGCAGTGGGAGCAGCTTGCCCCCACAACTCTATGGCCGGGGGCACTGCCAGGCCTCGCCAACTTTTGTGCTGCGGCTTTGAAATTAAATATTTTCGATTTTTGGCATTTCTCGATATTGCGAGTGCCAAAACCGGTGATTGTGAGCCAGGGATAACAATTTGGCTATCTTAACTCAGAATTAATATTTAGCTGGGATGATCAACTAAATGTCCACGCTGGGTTCACCCAGACTCCAAATCAGATAGACGAATAGTTCTGATAAAAGGTACCTATTGGTATCTCAACCAAGTGCCACAGTATGCATATCGTTTGGCCTTACTCTTAGTGTCACCGGTGCCACAGTGTTTGCGCTGTGCTTTTTCAGAGACCGTACCGACTGGAATTTAGCGACCTCTGCCCGTTTTAAAGACTGTACGGGCGGCAGCGGGCGGTCTGATCCTCGCCTCCGGCAAGAGGGTAGACCGCGCGTACCCCTGTCGCATTGTGCCGCTGCCGCTCGCGGGATGCGGACGAGTCTGTTGAGTGTGTTGTGCCGTCTGCCGTCTCCTCTTCGGGCCATGTAAGTTTCTGCCATGCTGTGTAACAATGAGATAATTGATCCTAGTTATTGCATTGATAGATACAAAAACCGTCGCTGAAACGTTCACTTCAATTAATGGCGATCGTCGTCGTCATTCATTTGGCTGCGGCAAATGAAAGTGCTACCAGTAGCGTCTTTTAGCGTCATGCCTTGGAACGAGGCCCAGGTAAATATGTATAATAGAATAGATTCAGGGTAGTAGGACGTAGGTGCATATGTGATGCTAAATGAACATACACAGGCATCTAAGTTGGAAATGACTGAACGGAATTTACTCAAAGGCTCACCAATATTCTTTGGCTGGGACTGCAGTCTAAGCCTAAGAGTAGAATTCGTGATCCTTTGAGTAGGCATTGTTGATCAATATATTACTGTTATTACATAGGAATATCCGCCTTGTTGCAGGAACGCAGGATGCGAGACTCGACAGGCGACGGGCGACTCAACCGCTCAAGATGTGTTGAATGTGGATGGCGGAGGAGCGGCGGCCGAGGACGTGTGACGTGATAATATCTGAAGCGTGGCTGACTTGAAAAAAGTGTAGACTTATCTTCCTGTAAATATGTTTTTCGGAAGTCCTCGGCTTATATTTCTCGGAGCCTCAGCTGCAACCTGCGAATGCCTAGAGCTCCATAAATGTATACCCGGTTGCCTGTGGTTGGTTGCTGCTCCATTCCTGGCAATGAAATGGCTAAGTGTGCTTGTTTCAAATAAAAAATATAGCACCAGAGACCGTACAAATGTGTTTGCTAGGACTTAATCCTTACGGATTTATATATTATTCATTAAGGAATAGCCTCAAAATCCTTGAGGATTGTCGCAAAGATCCTTAAAGATTTTGCTACCAATCTTTAAGGAAGAACCACAAAGTCCTTAAAGATTATTACCAATGTCCTTAAAGACTATCAGAGATCCTTAAGGATTTAGCTATCCTTAAGGAGATCCTTATTTAGCTAAAAATCCTTACGGATTTTCCGCAGAATCCTTAAGGAATTTCTAACAAAATCCTTAAGTATTGTGTATCAATTTCGTACAAGGATTTTGTTGAGGATCGTCCTGAAGAAATACATAGGATTGTCCTTAAGGATTTTTTCACTAGGGTATGTAGTCACAGACACAGTGGCACAGACACAGTGACACAGATACAGACACTGTGGCGCAGTGACATGGTGACATACTGACACAGTGGCACAGTGATACGGTGACATATGTAGTCACAGACACAGTGACACAGACACAGTCACAGACACAGTGGCACAGACACAGTGACACAGACACAGTCACAGACACAGTGGCACAGACACTGTGACTTAGCGACACAGTAACACAGCAAAGTGACTTAAAGGCATAACGACAGACAGAGTGACGCAAACACCGTGTGACACATTGACACAGTGACGCAAACACCGTGTGACACATTGACACAGTGATACAGACACAGTAACACAGTGATACAGGGACGTCATACAAAGTCACCAGCAGTATTCGAATATAACTTTTGATTCATACATAACTGAGCAACGAAGGGCGCCCTGAAATTTTCAGTTCTACAATAGAGATCGCGTAATATGCAGCATGATCTTTTCTTATCAGGGAATGTCTTTAATCCGAAGTCAAGCTTTAACTTTACCTTTTGAGTTCAGAATAGGTAATATATTTTATTAGACTGTATCGACTAAAAAAATGAAGATGGTGCTAAAACACAGTAGTGTAACATATCGAAGATGGGTATTGCAGAAAAAGTGTTCTATATTTTTTGCAAGTTTTCTGATGCGTGTACTTTAGCCCGCGGCCAGGGGGGACGCCCCCCGGCGATTGGCTCCTATGGCACTAAGTATCACCAAATTTTTAGGGTTGGTAGGGCCATAGAAGATCTCGACCCTGTGCAAATTTGGTTGCTTTAGGTCAATATTTAGGGTTTTTGGGGAAGATTAATGTAAAAATTTCGCTAAAACAGGTCAAAAGTTCTTCGCTTATTACGGATTACGCGAAACGAGCGGAGTCCTACGTAGAATAACGAAAATGTCTGAGTATGAGCGGCCGGCCGGCCGTAGTCACGCTTTTGCGACGCTTATATCTCAGCAACCACTTGACCGATTTACATGCGGTAATTTTTGTAGGATAGCTTCACTCCTTCTTCCAAGCATTTCTATTCCCGATGCATGTGGGTGACCCCTTTTGCACGTGCCATGTGCAAAACAAAGAGGTGTCAGTTTTGTAAAAACTGTAATATCTCGGTAACTACTGGGCCGATTGCGCTGAAAGTTGGCATGTAGGCAGGCACCCACTAGGTAGGCAATGCATATCCATGTGCCACAGTTGGGGTGCTGCTGCACGTGCGCACTTGCAGGTGTCGATTTTAGATCTCGAGAAGGGCTGAACCGATTGCGCTGAAATTTGGTACATGGTTAGGGACCGGTTAGTAGGGTGCCGTGCAAGTCAGTTGGGACCCATTTTGCACGTGCGCACGTGCAGGGTGCCGCTTCCAGATCTCGAGAACGGCTAGGCCGATTGCGCCCAAATTTAGCACATCCCTAGAGACCGGTTCGTAGGGTGCAGTGCACAGGCTAGTTGGAGGTACCTACCCCCTCGCAATTTCGCACGTGCAAGACCCACCTTCTCGCTCGCTCCGTTGGTCGCCCCGGTGTTTTACTGGTTAATTAAATAAGCTCAACCTAGCCAAATTGCAACACATCGCATATCCTTCGATTCGGCTGATCACAAGGAACGCAATGACACCATTTTTAAGCTCTAGCTTCATTACGTGCGAAGTTATTATCAAAAACGTAGTTTGACCTCATTTGACCTCAGATGACCTGACCCAAATGTTTTTTAAGCAAGCAAACACCGAAGTCACGAATTCATCTAATAGAGCTAAAACAACACAAAAACGTTGAAATGGAGCATGCTTTTAAAATTTGAGCTATTCGGAAAAATTTTCTTAAAATTTGTCGTGATTTCTAGGTGACCTCAGGTCACCCGAACTTGAAAGACCTGGATGTAAATTATACAACTCGAAGAGCTTAGCATATCTTGCCAGTTTTAATCGAATTGATGGACAAGGCCCTAGATTTCATTGATAAAATAACGTATTTTCATTGCAATTTTGACCATGTACCGGTTTGTGTGACCTTGTGACCTGACCTGAGGCCACTGGAGCACAAAACTCCTAGGACACGTGCAAAATGGCTGCCCTAAGTTGTGTCTAAAATTTGGTGGCCCAAGTCGTACAGTCCTTACGCTATTAACGATAAACTCAGCGATTCCGTTGCCGCTAAAAAGTGGAGGGCATACTTTTTAGTAGGTGGCGACTGTCAACCACAAATAACGGCGTGGTTAGCCATATAGCCTCATTGCTGGTGCGCCCTAAAACACCAAATCATCATCAACTAATGGCGTGGTACAATTTTACAAAGACGTCAAAACGACTTCGTAGATGTTCAAATGGTCGATAAATTCGAAATCAGCTCCAACAGCTACCCTAGAAACATGTCAAGCTCGAAAAAGTGAACTAAAGTCCAGAAAGCTTATGTCTTCTCAGTGGCCGAGTGGATTAACCCTCGCCCGTATAGGGGGGGGGGGGGTCGAACGGACCCCCCCATGTTTTTTTGCGAATAACTCGCGTAAAAAGCGGCCGATCGCGACGAAACTTTCAGTACCCTCGCGTTAATCAATTTTACACCTACCCTGAAAATTTCATGACCCTGACCCCAATGACCTTTGACCTGTGACCTACTTTTCGAGACCATGTTTGGCCGGAATCGCGATTCGGCGTATGTCGGCTCGCATTAGCCGCGCGTTTGCAGTCTTTTCGTGGTTTCAAGCGTTCAAACATGTGATATGATGCTGCCCCCATGCATTAGGGTGGGTGTCAAGGTCACCTGAAGGTCAGGTCAGGTCATTGACCTTTGGTGACCTCGGTTCACTTTTTCGAGTTTTACATGTTTCTAGGCCAGTTTTTGGAGCTGAATTCGAATTTAGCAACCATATTAACATTTACGAAGTAGTTTTGGTGCCTTCGTAACATGTTACGAAGCTGTCAGAGGCGGTTGACACCTACTAGGAATACCCGGCAGGACCCCTACTGGTTGACCTGACCTGACCTGACCCGACCTGGACTAAATGCATAAAGACATCATCTGTGATCAAAACTAACATGATATTCGTGATCAGCGCCCCGAAAAACCACATAGCAGCCACACTTTACAACGTTCTAACAGGTCCCGATTTTCCCGACTTTTGGGTCATTGACCTGACCTGCAAGGTCAACCAATGACTTAGGAACTTAAAATTAGGTATCATCGGCTTCCTCTCGTGACGGGCAACACGCTCGTTTTTTCCGCGAAGCTCTAGCTCGATCAGGGGCGAAACGGCAAGGGGGGGTCCAACGGACCCCCCCCCCCCCTTATACGTTCGCGGCTGGAAAAACACCAATACGGGCGAGGGTTAAAGCGCCGGAATTTGACGCTAAGCAGGTGGCGAGGGCCCGGTTCATGCCCCGGCGTGGGCGGCCACATTTAGCTCCTACGTGTAATGGCGTGCGCGTCTGTGGCAGGGGCCGCACAGAAGCCAAATAACGTGAGTGAGCGGAGGGGGCCGTGTGCGGTTGTGCTGCCACGTTAAAGGGAGATAATGACCTTTTTCCACAAAATCTGAGTTAGGACCATTTTCTGACAAAACACAACAAGTTATAATGTAAATTAAAACCATTTTGCTCAATTCGGTACCTTGCCGCAAATGCACTGTGTTCCATGTCGTTTCATCTCAACTTGAAGTCACGTTAGCGGGGAGCGCTGAAAATGACCGTTGAATAAGTACTTACATCACTTTTTGGTACTTGCATGTAATTTTGTAAAATGAGCGTATTCCTTACATTTGATCTTCATCACATCTAGTTAGTTAATGGTCGTCTATAGTACCTTCAAAAGATATTCATGGTTTTGGGGTGGTTTATGTCTAAATTTACGCAACTATTTTTCCTGTTCATCATCTGACGCCATATGCTGCTATTTTAGTAGCAACGACTCAATTTTGAATCGGTCCCGCCGACTGCACAATAAAAGAAGATAGATACAACACTTTTGCGGCATCACTGAAAAACTTATGCAGTACTGTTATCAAAATTCTCATAACACCGTTCGACAAACCTGAAGTCTTTTTGAAATAAATATGCTTGTATTTTTCGCTTCAGGCTCTGACGCCAGAATAATGAATTTCGTAGTCGCAATCGCAAGATTTGGCTGCGTTTCTGGCGCATGCCGTTCATTTGTGGCGCAAAATAATGTAAACAGTGTCATTGGAAACAAAGAAGAGTAGGCACTATGTACCCCCGAATTAGAATCTAATTAATTCTAAACCGAATTAACTCTAATTCAAATTAGAATCCTTACAACCAAGCAACGACAAGGCGATAACATAAGCAAAAACCCAAGCGTCGCTGTTTGAAACAAAAGCGCCATATACTGCGACTTTTTTATAGAGAAGGACAACGTATTTCGGTGGGTGTTACAAGTACTGCAAGTACTGCTCCTTTTTTGCAAAAATAAAAACCTTTTTCACATACGAAAATGTGCTAGGAAATTTTCATATTTTATAGAAACTACAGTAGAAATAGTATAGATGTCGAGTAATTTTTATTTAAGAAAAAAGAAAGCTCATTATCTCCCTTTAAACGTTCGGACAAAGTTTTGCCATACAACTGGCATTGTGCGATTGGGTGGTGGGGTTAAATTCAGCACAACAAGCTATGCTTAACAAGCTTGCTAACAAGCTATGCTCCGACTCCTCAAATCCGCCCATTCAACCATTCGGACTAGAATTATAAAAAAGGTCAATGACTTTCATGTGACCTTGGACTCCGTCATAATGCATAGGACCAGCATCATTTCACCACCATTTCACATGTTCGAACGTCTACAATCACAAAAAGACTAGAAACGAGCGGATATCGTAAGCTGACATACGCCGAATCGCGATTCCGCCCAGACACGGTCTCGATAAATAGTTCACAGGTCAAAGGTCATTTGGGTCAGGGTCACGAAATGTTCCGGGTAGGTGTAACATGGATAAACTTGAGAGCAATAAGAGTTTTGTCGCGATCGGCCGCTATTTGCGCGAGTTATTCGCGAAAACCCAGGGGGTGTCCATCCGCCCCCCCCCCCCTCCGCTACAAATGCGAGGGTTAAAGGCTATTGCAGAAAAAAACATCTCCCCAAAAACGTCACTCATGACAGTTTTTGCCCCCTGCAGGCCAAGCCGTTGGTCTTAGGTCGAATATGAGAGAATTAGTCAGAAAAAGTGTTAACAGGGATGACGGGGCTATCAAATGCACTTTTCTGTGGCTCTGTAGCTCTTTTCAGTTGCGAGTTATGTGCCGGTCTGTCGAAAATTATTGAAATTATTGAATTATTGAAAATTATTGAAATTGGCAAAATTTGACCTACAGGGTGTCCCATAAGTTCGTTCTCACCTAAATTTTACGTTTTTAGGCTTTCTTGCTTAAAGGCACGCTGAAATTGGTTCGTAACTGAGCTTACATGGTTGCCATGGCTGGTAGAAATATGCTCCACAGTAGCTAATTTCTGTAGACAAAATAGTTTTTGCTAGAGAGCCCGCTTCCTACAGAGACGGCTAACGCCGCAACATAGAGGTCTCCGATACGGGTACGTCTCAGTATTTACTCAGCACGTGACCATTCGCGACGATTGAGGGTGATTGAGGCCTACCAGTCTGTAGCCAATATCCATCGCTAACTGGACGCACAGTCAGCAAGTGACGCCGATGATTTGTTGGGAGTCAATAACTGCAAGTTTATCCTCTTTCTAGCCAGCCCTCAGGAATGAGCCAAGTGGCCAAAACTGTGTGGCGCCAAAGTGGCCATCAAAAAGGTCAAAGGGTTAGAAAGTTGGTAAACAGACTTTTCAGGATGGATTACCAGCTGTCTAAGAGTGTTCTTTCGGGGTACATAACTCAAGGTGACTTAAGCTTTGCTTACCGGAGGGCTCAAAACAGTCAAAAACGTCTTAAAATGGCCAAACATGAGTTTCGTTATGCCTGAGGCTAAACAAAACTAGAGGGCTGATGACATCAACCAGGTCATCTGGACTAACTAGTCCACGTTCGAGATGAAACACCCGTCCAAACCCGAAAACAACCCCATAAGGGCGAAGGAGGAGGCCTTCATTTCGTCCCGTTATGTTCCTATGCAAAAGGCCAGGGTCACTGTGTTGTGGGGTTATAGGCGTTCTGGAGTTGATCAAGTTACAAGTGGCAACCCGGAAACAGTTTTGGGAAGCAGAATGCTTTTCCAAGAACATCTAGGAGGAATTTCAGCCCTCAAGCTGAACTCGAACCGCGAGTATGAACACATTTATAGAGGAGAAAATGGCATCCGGGAGGTCGTAGGCCCATCTTCAGGCAAGACAGTGCATCAGTGCACAGGTCAAGCAAAGCTTAAAAGCGGTGCAAGGAGACTGTGACAGGCGTTTGTGGCAAGATCACATGCCAGGCACCTCATCGGATCAAAATTTCATAAAAATTTGTTGGTTATGCTGAAGTTGAGGCTCGTTGAAGCGTAGCGCTGTTCCAGCCTCGAGGAGCTCACGGCGCATGTCAAGTCAGTCTGGGTTAACTTTAAGCCTGCTATGCAGCCAAACATGCCGGTTGGCATGCCGCAGCATGTATTCATGTGTTTGCCTATTTAATGGGGAGCACATTGAGGGGTCATAAATATACCAAAACGCAATGTACTCTGTTTCACATGCAAACATAATGTGAGAACGAACTTATGGGACACCCTGTACGATGACCTCTGGTGACCTGACCTATGCCCTGACTTAAAATGGCTTAAGTGATTTCGTCATACTTTTTTACGCTATTGCGAACGACGCCTGCCGCGCGGCGTGTCGTTATGTGGCCCAGGAGCCGAGTTAGCAAGGGGAGGGATGTTCAAACATCCCCTCCAACCCGGGCGTGCAAATCCAGGATCCCAGCGGGGCGCGGATATGCAATACCATATGTTTATTCACTCCCGATTACAATACAAAACCAAATATTCTAAATCGCCGATGGCTATTTCTAATATTTGCTTTTGTATTTTTCTCGTGTGTGACTGAACGTAACCATGTCTGGCGTGCTTCATGCGAAACCCTGCCCAGGCTGCACTGCGCAATGAGCAGCCAGAGAGCAGGAGCGTGCGAGCGACCGGCATGGCAGTGGCTCCAGGAGCACCAGCGCGGGTGACCGATCCGTACTGCTGCGGCCCTCCTAGCTGCCCGATTAGCTCACCGGTGCGGTAGTGGCTCCAGGAGCCCCAGTAGCAGATGACCTCGGTGGCGGCGGCGGCGCCGAGCAGCGCGGTCAGCAGCAGCAGGCTCCGGACGGGCTCCATTCCGGGGGAGAGCGGGGCAGCAGACAGGGTCACCGGCAGCAGCTCGGTCAGCGCGCCGGTAGTCGACAGGGAGCCAGGGGCCGCAGTGCCGCTCCGCCTCTTGGAGCCCCCTTTTATCAGCCGCCGCTCCTGTGCAGTGGCCGGTCACGTGGCCGATAGGGGACAAGGAGCACTAAGCCTAGGACTAAAAACTTACCAGTGCCAAGTGCGTGAGTCACCCAGGCAGGTGCAAAAAATGATCCCAAACTGATTCCGGCCGACCGTGGTCACGGTTCTGCAAGGCTTCAGCAAACGCTGGACCGATTCATTTGCGGTCTTTAGTTATATAGAGTAGCTTCATCCCTTCCAGGTATGGGGCTATTCCCGATGCATTCGGGTGACCCCTAATTCACGTGACACGCGCAAAATGAACAGGTGTTTGGAAGGGATGCCTTAATCTCTTGGATAAGAACACCGTTGTAATAACCCGCGCCGTGCTGGGGGGGGGGTTACACTCCCCCCCAGGGTTTTCGCGAATATCAAACGGCGGTGCTGCGCGCCGCCATTTTTGGTACACGTGTTCATACATCATTTCCGCACATGTGAAATCGTCAGACCCAGGTCGTTTAAGGTCAGGTCACCAGGTCACGTTAAGTGACCTTACCTCAGAAAAAAAGTTCAAAGGCTCGCTATAGCTACAACGACTGAACGATCACTTTGAAACTTGCAGCGATTGATATTAGTAACAGTATGTATCAAATGTATTATCTCGGTATTTATATCTGTGACTTTTAAATCTGGATATGTGTGTCAGGTCAAATTTGTGACCTCTTCTTCCATTATAAGTCAATGGGAGACAATTGAAATGCGCCTCTTTTGGACGAATGTCGTTCAAAACGCTCTCAAACATCGTTTCATTGGTAAACATGACACACTGAATCGGAAAATGCACCTGTGGCCAGGGGCGCGGGAGCTACTTTCAGACTGGGGGGCACACCATGATAGAGATCAACCTAGGGTACCCCCAGATTTAGTTTTCCCGCCGGTTTTAGGCCACTTATTTTTCATCCCTTGGCTTTTTCAACAAAAAAGAAAACATTTGCAAAAAAGTGCGGTATTCCGTCTTAAAGTTGTGGGGGCACCGACCCACGGCCCTAAAGTTAGGTGGGCAAGCTGCCCCCACTGCCCCCCCCCCCCGGTTCCCGCGCCCATGCCTGTGGCCCTTTGTATGCCTCTGAGGTCAGCTCAGGTCATGAACGGCCACCAGCAGTTGTTTTTTGGCTATAATTTTTTATAGAGACGTGCTAGAGCGGCGAAAACACGTCAGATGTGTTCAGGTAGACGATACGGATCGACTAATGTGCAACATGACCCTTTCCGGTCAGGTCATGACCTTGACCTAAAGTCGCGTCTCGACGAGAGGAACACGATGCTGCCAAAAGTAATGTCGTAGCTCCCTTGAGTCAAAAGTTATTGCCGAAAAACATTTTTCGTGAAAACAGCCATTTTTACAGTTTTTGCCCTCTGGAGGCTAAACCGTTGACCTGAGGTCAAATCTGAGGACGTTAGTCAGAAAGGTCTGTAAAAAGGCTATCGAATGCGCTTTTCTGCGGTGCTGTAGCCCTATTGGTTCCCGAGTTAGCTGTTGGCAGTTTCCAAATTACTGAAATTGACTAAATTTGACCTTTGACGACCTCTGGTGACCTAACCTTTGACCTGACCTTAAAAATGACCTAAGTATTTTCCCCTTATTTTTGACGCTCTTTCGAGTGCCGCTTACCTCGTGTCGCTACGTGGCCCAGGAGCCGAGTTAGAAGGGGGGGGGGGGGCGTGAAAACGCCCCTCCACCCAGCATTTGGCGGGAAGTTCAGGCTACCAGCACAGCGCGGATTAAAGAGACTACTATCAGATCAGGGCTCAAAAATTGAAAGGAGTCAGCTTGTTTTTGCTATTGCTTAATTCCTCAGGCTCTGCTGATTCTAATGATATGTATAACTGCTTGATTGTACCAGTTAAAGCCATAGGCGGCGGAACAGCTTGGGGTTCATGAAACGGTGTTGGATAGCCCCAACGGGGAACTACCTTGTGACCCAATGTCAGCACCGGCTAGAGGAGCCAAAACATAGGGTACCCCGAAATCCTGTTTTCTCACCAGACTTAAGCCACTTATTTTTTGCCACAGCCTTGACACGATGTTTTATTTTACTAAAGAAAAAAATGGAAGGCCATGCCTTTATATTAGTTTGTAAAACCCACACATTGCTTCACCGAGGGTAAAAAGTTACAGTTCTTACCTCCACCTCATATCACCTGGACCTGCATTAGGTACTTATAACCTGTCCCAGGCTGGGGAGGTGTTTGAAGGCACCACCCATGTTTGACACACCGGCTCACAAACCAACCCCACATACCGGCTCGGGTTCACTATCTCACACAGTTTTCCGAAGTTATCTTAAAGGTAGTGTGCCACCTTTGAAAGATTTCCCATTTTATTTTTCCTAGGATAAGAAGCTTCTGTTTTTACCTGATATCGCAAAAAAATCAAAAATGGGCCTGGAATAGTGCCTTTTTCGCCTAAAAGTTTATCGGTTTTTCGATATGTATAACAACTGTAGTCAGGGCCTCGGCTAAGGAATTTTGACTACTGGGGCAAATCGTCAAAGTGTGTTGGCGCCCTGCTGGGGGGGGGGGGGGTTGAACACCTGCGGTTTTTCCTGCGGTTTTTCGCGGATATCTAAAAAAAACGGCGGCGCTCCATCATCCATCAATTTTACACGTGTTGTAAAAATTTCAAACCAAGGTCATTCAAGATCAGGTCACCAGGTCACTTCAAGTGACCTCACCTCATGAAATGTTTCCATGTATGCCGTAGCTACACTGAGTGACCGATCGCTTTGAAACTTTCAGCGATTGATAAGGGCAACAGCATGTACAAAAATTTATATTTCGGAATTTTCATATCGGTGACCTAAGGTCAGCTCACTTTTGCGACCGATCTATTATAAGTCAATGGGAGAAATTCAAAACCACCTCTTTTGGACGAAAGTTATTCTAAACACTATAAAACACTGTACGTGACTTTGACACACTGAACATGAAAATAGCACCCGTGACCCTTTTTATGCCCCTGAGGTCATCTCAGTTCACGAATGGTATCTAACAGTTTTTCGCGAATAACTTTTGAAAGAGGCATGCTAGAGCGATGAAAATGCCTTAGTTGTGTTTGGTTCGACGATGCAGATCGACTGATATGCAACATGACAATTTCCGGTCAGATCATGACTTGAACCTGAGGTCGAATTTTCAAGTTGACCTTCAAGGTCAAATTGTAGTTAATTTGATGCGTCTTGACGAGAGGAACACGATGTCGGATCAAAGAAAGCGCTTGCATTGGGCCTTGGCTCGTGCAAGGCATGAGTCAAAAGTTATTGCAGAAAAACTGTTCCCCCAAAATTGTCTTTTTAGTAGCTTTTGCCCCTTGCAGGCAAAACCGTTGACGTTAGGTCAAATCTAAGAGAAATAACCAGAAAGCATGCTAATATGGCTATCAAATGCGCTTTTCCGCGGTGCTGTAGCTCTAATTGGTTCCCGAGTTATGCGTCGGCATCTTGTAAACTGTCGATATTCGACCTGAAAATCGGCGAAATTTGGCCTTCACCATGACCTGACCTTTGACCTGACCAAAAAAGTGGCTGAAGAAATTTCGTCATTATTTTTTTACGCTCTTTCGAACGAAGATGGATTATGGGGTGTAAAAAGATATGCTTGCCAATGTACAGTCCACAGCAGAAGTAATGTGCGGTTTCAGTCATGGGTATGTTCTGCTTCTGAAGCTTAGGAACGATTAGTCAGACTACAATGAAACTTTGAATGTAGCTTATATGTATCGTCACTCTTGCAGCTGCAATTTTAGCTATTGACATCTTCTTTTCGATCACTCCGCATTAAACAATATCCAGTCAAAGCCAATCGTTGAGATTGGTAAAACCCTACATTACTTTAGCGGTGGGCTGTACGCCTATGTTTTTGGATGGAAATTGAGGGTGCAGCTGCACACCGTGCACTCCCTCTTCCGCCGCCCCTGATTTCTTGCCACAAACGTCTTCAACCGCTCCCGAATGAAAGAATGTACGTTAATATTGATATATTCTCATTTTGTGGAGGTTGGGCAAAGCCTGACCACTACTGGGGCATTCCTCGACTCTACTGGGGCATTTGCTCCAGTAGTTAACATGTTAGCCGAGGCCCTGACTGTAGTGGGCTGACGTGCAAACAGGCGTCGGCAACAATCGCGAATGCGGCGCACATGTGACAATAAGCAAAAGTCATTATAGAGTTACGACGAACGGGAATGAGTTATCAGCTGTCTAATCGTAGACAACACAATGTCGAGCCTTAAACTGTAAGCCTGTATTGGTATTGTTTCTTTTATTTGGCTGTCGAACATTATTTATGGTTTGAAATATGATTTTATGTAAAATAATTGATATCAAAAGCCGTCTCTTAAGTTATGACCCCATTTCACCACACGCAAGTGGCAGAAATGACAATGATCAGCTGACGCATTTTTCTTGGCCGAAGTCAGAGCGCGCAGCCCGACGCACCACCACCGCACCACAAAGTATGAGCAGAAGCCGCGCCCAAAGCCAGGGCCCCGGTAACGTGAGGTAGCCGAGTCGGGGCAGCGTGCGCTGACCCAAGCCGGGGCCGCAGCTTTGGGCGCGGTCTACCGCATCCCCGCGGGCAGCCCCGGGCTATCACATGACACCGGGAGGACGCGCGGCCCCGGCTTGGGTCAGCGCACGCTGCCCCGACTCGGCTACCTCACGTTACCGGGGCCCTGGCTTTGGGCGCGGTCTACCGCACCACCCAACAGGCGTGTTCGAAACCGCAGGAGATGATGATGAACGGGTTTATCGAAACTTGATTGGATGAGCATATCGGTAATAGCGATTTCAGTGTGTGCATTTATTGTTCATAGTGGTGTGAAATGTGGTTGGGGTACGACCGACAACCCGTCGGGGCGAATTTCGCACTGGGGTACTCAAAATTTGAAGAATTTAAGACGTTTCCATGAGTTTTGAAGGTATGGATAAGTTCTAAAAATCCGGTTCTCCTTATCTGGACCATTAACTCCATACGGTCCAGGA